GATAGGATTGACATCTTACTATTGTCAGGAAAACAAAAGTGCAGACTTGAAAACGAGGGAGAATAGAACTCGAAAGTTAAGCGTGCTCAGGCTGGAGTAGTGAGAGGATGGGTGACCATCCGGGAAGTTAGATGATTTGGAATGATGAGGGGTGATTAGAGATTAGAGGTTAAATTGAGCAGTGATGAGGGGTGATTAGAGATTAGAGGTTAAAATAGTTCAGAAATTTGAAAATAAAAATTATTCAAAAAAATCATAAAATTTCCTTTAGTACCGGTTGGTGTTACCAACCGGGACTAAAGGTGGACCTCCAGGCAGCTGCCACGTGGAGGCCTTTAGTCCTGGTGAGTATAAGAACCGGGACTAAAGGGAGAGGCTTTAGTAACGACCCTTTAGTCCCGGTTCCAGAACCGGGACTAAAGGCCCTTATGAACTGGGACTAAAGGCCCTTTTTCTACTAGTGTATAAACTTTGACATATAATTTACATTATATTAGTTAAATTTATGTTCAAACCTTATCCAATATAAGAAGGAGCCTAATAAACCCGGACGAAGGGTAGAAGATGCGATATTATGGGTATTCTACTAGTGCAAAGTGCTAGCATTGAGACAAATATGGCTCAAACTACAACTAAAATAATAAACATGATCCAAAGATCGATTAAATATTCCCTTGATTCTACTATGAGTGTCATTTCTGTTCGACAAAGGTTTAGTCACTAAGTTAGTATGACCTGATACACTAGTTAGCACTCCAATATTTTCTTGAGGCTAGGGATGATAACAGATGGAAGGGAGTGATGCATTTTTTTCAGTTTTTTATGTGGAAGTGAAAGTGGATACATAAACCTAGAAAACTAAAACTAATATTACCAAAATGGACACCCAAAAAATGGTGTAGAGGCTAATATTAAAGCAAACGTCCGATGGATCTAAAGACTCCTTGAACCATATATAAAAAATACCACTTGTCATGAGTGGTAAGCTATATAAAACACAATGAACAAAAGAACCATATATAAAAACATAAGAAACCAACAAACTTATTCAATTGATAGGACCACAATGTCTTTCAATGGTCTCCTAAGTTTCTGGCCTAACTATGAAACTAGTTGCACTGATGTGGAAGCGCATAGGCGTTGTAGCGTGGATGGGCGGGTGGCGTCGCAGTGGCGGCTGTTGAAATATATTGCCCGCCTCCCTCCATCAGTTCAGACTTTTGGATGAGTTTGGCTGAAACATGAATTCAATATGGTATCCGAGCCAAGAAGTCTTGAGTTCAAGACCCTACCAATGCCGTATTAAATAAACGATTCTGCGGCCTACATCGATCCCACGTCTAAGGACTAAAATAGACTAGACGTGAGGGGGTGTTGAAATATATTGCTCGCCTCCCTCCATCAGTTCGGACTTTTGGATGAGTTGGCTGAAGCATGAATTCAATAGCGGCCTATGTGTTGGTCGACTGGGGATGGGTGCGTGTGGCATGCTCAAGTGCCCAACTGTTTGATTAGGAATGGTGAAACATAGATTGGAGGTTTCGGCTGGGGTTGAAGCACCATCTTCCCGGCTAGTACAAATCCTCATTAGCGCTTGAACATGTTATGAATCGGCTCTTGTGTGCCTTAGATCCCTGTTGCATCCCAATCCTATACATGGCTAGCTAGATCTAACATGTTCATAGAGATTAAAATTGGGGCCATGCCAACATAGTAAGCAAGTGTGATCTATAGATACGATCGTCAAGTTGAATTACATCGCAAGGTATGCATCGCTAGAAACTGAAACCTACGATAGAATCTCTAGGTTATCTGATACTAGCATATACTCCGCAATTTATAGAGATGCATCAATGCATGTGTTGATGCCTACAGAGGTGGATAGAGTGATTGCTGCCATTATCTAGAGAACGGTTACTTCTTATCTATTTTATGTACTTCAACTTTAAGCAGGCTCTCATTGACCAGCGTATAATGTCTTTGACACGTTGTAGATGAAGATTTTGGTACTTGAAATACCAATTTGGGTCAAAAAGTGAGCTCGGTGGACAGGCGTTCATTACCCGGTATTGTTGATGCAATGTTCAATGTATGTTCTAGTATATCCAGCTAAGAGTCAAGGCTTTCAAATATCACTTGCATAAGGTGGACGCACGTTGAAGGTTGTGGGGGCAGCTGCCCCCACTCAATTTTTCCTCGTAGGCCTCGACCGATCATGCCAAGCTACGTGTGCCCCCACTCGGCCCATTACTTTGCCCCCACTCAGCCCAATTTATTGTTTATTTTCAAAAGCCCATGTATTCTAAATCTGCAGAAGCCCACCACAAAGAAACAAGCTACGTTATGGATCAGTGCGGCCCTACACCCCTGATGCACATCCACGTACACTCAAAAAGTAGCGAACACACGATACGGCAGCCGCGCAGCCACCCCAATCCCGCCGCTCGCCGCCGGCAATGAGCGACTTTCCGTCGCCTGTCTCTCGCGCTTGCACGCTGCCTTCGCAACACAGCCTCATCACCGATTCTGCAATTTCAGCGTTCTCATTGACATCAAGTAAGACATATAGTAGATCATTAGGGTTTTTCCTTTAAAAAAAATTGTTCGTTTGCAATTCTTGTGTATACAAACCATAATAGTATCACCAATTTATGTGTACTGTATAATTTACTGATTTAGATGACTAGATTGGTTCAAACAATTTTCTCGTAAGATTTAAATATTAGTACCAAACTTTGTCTAGACCGAGATACTCAAAATTTCATTCGGATCATCTATTCTTACTAGTTCCGAGCAAGATGATTGCATATTACAGTACCAATCGGCATGAGGAAATTTGCCTTGTCCTAAAAATTTTAAGCAAAAGACAATCGCGACGATCAATCAACATTTTACTGTCGATTGGTATGAACCATAGTCGTATTTGATTTGTAGAAAAGGGATTGCTAATTTTTTTCCCCAATGAAGTGATAATCAAATGTTCTCAAGAGGTGAAAAATCACCGTGGGACAAAGTAAAAGGCAATGTGCTAAACGCTCTTTTTCGCTTGTATAAAGGCATTCTTCAATATTTTCATTCTCCCTTCGTTTGATAAGGATTTTTTTTTCCTTCCAGGTTGTTGGTTAGATTGTTAGGCAATGCACCAATGTTCTCTTATGCAACTTCAGAACAAGATATTGACATACCGATGTAAGTCATTTTGTTTCAAATTGATAGTTTCTTTTTCTTTCATGAATTTGGTCATCTCATGGAGAATGAAGTGATTGTGTCTAGGTTTCAATTTATATGGATGGCTGCTTTGTTAATTCGAATATGGCCATACATTATTGCCCCCTCTTAATTTTTTTCCTGGGTCCGCCCCTGCTTGCATTGTCTTGTTAAAAAGAGGAGGAACTTATATTTAGGGCCTCTTTGATTTATAGGATTTTTATAAGAATATTGGAGGATTTGAATCCTAATAATTTTTTTGATTATCTTCATAGTCTTGTTTGTCTCGGCACTTTTTTATTTAAAATCTCGAGTACGACGAACTCCAGCGGTCGAGAGAACTCCAGATCATCCATGTACGCCTGCTCTTTTTTTTTTTTGCGAAAGATCCATGTATGCCTGCTCCACTCCCGGCCCAGCCCATTCCCTCGAAGTAGGGCACGCTCATCTGAACAACAAAACACTGATCGTTGTCTCAAAAAAAAAACACTGATCGGAACTCGCATGGATCCGTCCGATCGTTCACTATGTACGACACTAATGGTTGGGGCCCGCCATTGCGGGCCTCCTAAGAGTAAGTTGTGGCGGTGCAAGGTAGGAGCGTGCCCCTTCCACTTTCTTGTTTATTCCATCACACTCAAAGTACATGTATATTAGGACTGGTATGCGCAAGTTTTTAACTGAAACTTTAAGATGGAGCCATGCAAAAACAACACACTTAGAGAATGTATTCTGGAGGTTACATGAACGATGATGGTGGTTCAAAAGTAACGGATAGCACATGGCAGCGTCCAAAAGTAGAGGCATACTTCCTGGTGTCTTAAGTCAGACTTAAAAGGTCTTACAAAGATAGAAATATACCCAGCCCCTACAGCATGATCAGGGCCACCCTGCTTGCTTGCATGGTACCTCGTGCACCTGCCGTATGAATGAAGATTAATTCAACTATAAACATGTAAGAACTCCCAATGTGGTTAGATGTACGTAGAGAAGACTGTTGGGTTGAACAAAACAATTAATTATAGATAAAACTGACCAGACAATGACCTTTTGACCGATTTGAGAACATAAGCTGACATGGATAGATTCAGTAAGAGTTGGCTACATAGCAATTAATTTGGGGAATGATTCTCAATTATTAGTATGAAATAGACAATATCAAGAAATTAAGATCAACCTTTATATTTGAGATATCTTGCTCCGTCGCCATGTCGGCTCTTGGCTCAGGAATACATTCAAAGAAGCGCTAGGCACATGTCTTCAAGAAAATGTGCCGATAAACAACAAATTTGAACATAAAAGCTACAACTATACTACCCTAAATGAGAATTATCTGAAGACATTAAATTAGTTTTTCTGTCGCTCTGAAATTCCAGCACCTTTGTTAGGCCAGCCAAGAGCTTTTGTTATAGAAATGGCCAAAAGGAATAAGCTAAGATTTCTCATCTATTTGCATTTTGTGTTTTTTTACTCCATAGGTCACTATATACAATTTTCAGTTTATACCCACGTGTTATAGAAATGCTGCTTTGTTTTTCAATTAGAATGGGCTAATTTTTGTAGAAATGAACTACCATATCAGAAAATCACTTGATCCAGAGTACAATTGAAATTCATATTAACCAACATACGCTTAGTCACCGAACAATCAAGAAAAACTCATCCAAGATTTGGATATCAATGGTATAATGACAATTGAAAAGGTTCACTGTTGACCCACCTACCTGCTAGGCTTCACTGGTGGCTAAATAAAATCCTAGAGATTGTTATAGTGTATTACATAGCTAGAGCAGTCAAAAAGAAGTACCTATCACGTGCAAATATCTAGCTATGGGCCACATCAGGCAAATCCTCATTTGATCTTGAAAAGCTATGTGAATAAGGCAAGATTGAAGCTTCCGGCTTTTGATTTGATTCTGATATGCATGCCCGTGGAAGGTCAACTGGCCCAATATTTTCTTTGTGGAGATCGTCTCTAGATCAGCTGTGACCTATGTACAAGAAGATAACTTAACAAACCAACAAAATTAGTAGAATATTGCATATCTTAGAGAGGAAAATAGGAGGATATCAAAGGATTGCTTTGGATTAGGTACATACAACAATGTGAGGCACTTGCAGTATGCAGTCCACCTCCTGTATGGGTTCTGACTTGGTGATATTAACAAATTACTGGGGATCGGTCTTATTCATCGGGTCTAACACCTAACATAATAATTGTAGATCTACAAGTATGTTGACCAGTTAAAAATATTATACAAAATGTTCAAATATAGGCTGATGAAGTAAGCAAAGCATATATATTAACCAGTTAAATATCTGTGCTAAAGGCAAGGATGTGTTGTTGATACCATGACAAGAGGAAATCCAAGCTAAATATTCCTCTCAGATGATGTTTTTAGCAAGGAATTTAGGATAGTAGATCACTAAACCTGCTTATCGAAATAGGTGGCATCACCAACTTCTTCCAAAATATTTGCCAGAATGTACTTTATGGGGTTGAGTTCCTTCACATAATTCAAAATCAAAAGCATCAAACCCAACTGACACAAGACGGCAGGACCCATGTGTCGGAAAATGCAGCACCGACCTCCTCGTAGAACACCTCCTCGAGCTCATCCACTGCTCAGATGAAAACATGATGAGAAACAATGGTTACGGCAGTAGTATTGAAAGCACCAGTTGTGGTATAAAATTTGTGATGATAATCCACAACAAAGATTTAGCCATACTCTATAAATCCAAAAATTTCTTTGACAACAAGCAAATCGTCCCGAGAACAGAATTCTTTGAGTTGGATAATTCACAGATATTCAGTTATAATGAGGGAAGTAAGGAGTTGAATACATTATAATACAACATCATGACATCTAAAACATTTTAATTCTGTTTTAGAGTCAAGAAAATTCTCAGCTGCAACTGAGAGTCGATAAAAACAGACACCAGCAGCTTGCCTCTGATAAGTACATGATTTTTCCGAACAATGTATGGACAGCAAGCTTAGGCTTGAAACCTTGTTCTCTAAACCCAGATAAGTCCATAACTATTGGACCAGCAATATCATAAAACACAAAATATCCTCAGCGGCCAGTGCTCTAGCAGTGTGCAACCATAATCTTACACATCAAGTTTAGTTGTGAATCAAACTAAATTATCATTCCTACCAAATACAAGGAAATCAATAGTTCACAATAAGAAAGACATAATATTTTGAACGCTATCATGCAGCGTTCACAAAAAACAGAGTCTTTTGAATGGTTAGGAAATACTATGTGTTCTCTAAGAGTAACAGTTCAGAAGAAGAATAACAATACCTTTTTCCCGAACAATTCGTCTTGATATCTGATTCAGAATTTCAGCAACTTCATTATCTTCAAACATTGATGCTTTCCTAAGACGTATGAGATCCAGAACCACATCAGGATTGAATTGTTTTCCATTCAGTGTGTATCGGATGTACATTCTTACTACATCATCCATGTCAAATCCTGTCTGAATACATGGGGGAAAAAGGTTAAAGCGTATCTGTAGCCAGATAGCTTTGCGACCAACAATATAATAAGAAAACCATTAGTCAAACAGCAGTAAGAATGGCCAAAATTAACCTAGACCAGTGACTTTTGTAAGGATAGTAACGAAGACAACAACAAACAATACGTTATCCTGCTAGAAACAACAAGTTGTGGCAGTAAGAAATTCTGTTGGGCATACCAAATGATGGCTGTGGGTTAAGCGCACCAGGATGCATCGTGTGTCCTATGGCCGTTATCTCATACTGGTGGCAGAAGGCGGGGTTTCCCTGTTGCTTTCCTCCCCTGGACTGGGCGGATCAAGTCACTGTCTTCATGTCTTCCTGCTTGCAAGAAGGATGTGTATCTCGGCTTTTTTTTTATTGTTTAGGCACACGTTAATCTGCTCGTAGGGATGCATGCAAGCATTATAAAAATGGCATTGTTAATGATGGATTTAGTGCAAAAGGCCCATTATTCTAGCAGAAAAGTGCAGGCGCAAGTACAAGTTAAGCCAATTAATTAATGAAAAAACTGTAGTAAGTAGTACTGTAAGCAGGGAGGCTGCCTCCAATTTGTATACATTGCATTACGAATTCACAGCACAAGGGAGCATGAGATGATACTACAAGCCTAGGAAGGAAATAAGCTTCTTCTATTACGGACGGATGGATAGAAGCTCAGCTTACAGGGACAAGAACAAACCAAGAAAGGAGCCACTTTTGTGATCAGATAATCTAATTAATCCTAAATCACAAGCTTCCATCGGATCCCAAGAACAGATAAAGCTTAGATTTATAGACATCAGAAGGCACCCTTTCTTGGGGTTAATTTCTTAGAACCAATGATCGAAAACCCTAAAGAAAAGTAATGCAATGATAACTGGAAGGAAAGCTAAATATCTTTGTCTTTCTCTTCCCTCTCCTTCTCTGCTCTTAATGAAGAAAATTAAGCAAGCCATCATGTAATTTTTAGAACTTCAGTGACATCAAATCCAGTCGTCGCCGCAACAACAGCTCGAGCTGGAACCTACAGGCGCACGACACAATGATAAGCAACCAAGCACTATTGTTGGATCCAACACAGGACGAAGGGTTGATGGCGGGGAGGAAGGGAGGAACCAGGGGAGGAACACAGTACCTCGACACGGGAAGGGGCTGGGGTCGGGGGGAGGAGGGCGAGGGAGCGCGCGCAGCAGACGGAGCTGAGGAGATTCTCGTCGACGCGGGAGAGGTTCATGCCGCCGCCCTGGATCAGGAGCAGGGCAGGAAGACGAGCGGCGAGGCCCCCGACTCGAAGAGCTCGCCGTCGCCGTAGAGGAGGGAGGGGCAGGGGATGAGAGAAGGCCAAGGGCGCGGTAGGCGGCAGCGCATCGCCCCGCATCTCAGCGGCGCCGTGCTCCCTCGGTGCGGCAGGGGACCATGGGCAGGAGCTGCCGCAGATCCGGCGGCGCCGAGGAAGAGAAAGGAGCAGAGGAGGAGGTTGCGTGTGGAGAAACCTGGGGCAGCTGGCCAATGAAAACGTGTTCCTAATCCGACGAATCGCTTCTCATTTCTTTTTTTGTCGACGACGTGGACATCGCGAGCAGGCGCTCTTTCTCCTCGACGAAGCGAACCTTTTGTCGCATAGTTAATCTGACGTGGAGAGCGCGAGGGCATGCCCATGATGCACACGTTAATGTTTCTCGATGTCGCTGCTGCTTGTGGTTTTCTAGCCAACTGCCTCACACAGACTGGCTTGCTCTAACAGCGGCAAACACGTTTCGTCTCGTGTCAACTGCTCCAACTTTTTCGTCAGGGCCGAAGTTTTTTTCATGGTAATACGTGTCTCATTTATATAAAATAAAAATCAAATTACAAGGCACGTAAGCATCAACCATACAAGACTGAAAAGGTAAAAAAATTCTATGCAAAATACCAGCGTATGTCCCTCTTCTTCGACACCACGGAAGCGGCCACCAAAGGGTAAAAAGACAGATCACCTCTTCACCCAAGCTCGACGCGGCTCCATCGCTGATCGGCAGCTTTACGGACCTCCAAAGTGGTTTGCCAGAAGCAAAACCATAGCCGTTGAAAGAATCAGACTGGGGCAACATGTCCCCGGACACGTCATCAAACTTCAGAACTGACACCCCCGCATCACGACGACGTCGGAGGAGAAAACCAGAACTGTCAGCCTTCAACCACAGACCCAGCACAAGATTCTCCATCTTCCAGCTGTCACTTGCGTAGACAACTGCCTCCGCGTATTCCTGGACGACAAAACCTCCCTGCTCCACCATGACGTCGGAGACAACGCCACAACAACGGGGACAGAGCAGAAGGAGAGACACACCTGATGGAGTCGCCGCCGCCGCCTCGCCAACACCATCCATGAACCCTAACGCTGCCGATATGAAAGGTCGGCAGAGACACGATGCCATCAACTCCGAGACGCCGCCGTGAACGGCATCACCGGTGTGGGAGTGGAGCTAAGACAGATTTATTCGTCCGGACACCGCTCCCACCATCCCAACGACGCAAAACCACGATCTATAGATCCAAAACCTAACTACAGAGCGAAGGAACGCCCCCCCTCCCTCTTGCCGCCAGAGCAGCGGCCTAAGGGAGAGGGGGCCAGCGTCCCGGCCGGTGGAGATCGGTGGAAGGAGATCGCCTCCCTAGTGGCCTGGCTATTGACGGCGGCTAGGGTAGGGAAAATGATTCGCGTGTATGCCCACGTACAAATGTGCATTCGGGGGAGAAGCTTATTAGTAGGGCCGAACGAGCATGCACCCAGACAGTGTCTCTTAAAACGGTTTTTTTTGTCACTTGAGTATTAGTTGTTGCTACTTATGCATCAACCGAGAGTAAATTGGCAAGTTTTTATCAGGATTTTGTAGCTAGGCTTGTTAGATCAGCCTCTTGTGTGAGGTCTTGTTCAAGTAAGTCGGTCGATGAGACGGGCGCAGGTTCGGTCCGCTAGTCACGAAGGATCCGTGTGTATGCCTGCGAGGAACCTACGACGTGTTGAACCTATGTATCCTTCCTTGTTGTGCGCGTATTCTCATGATATTTCCATGTACTGCTCGTGTGCTGTAGACTGTAGTCAGATGAATAACAGTTGTCGGTGCCTTGGAGCTAACTTCAATGAAACCGTATTCGATTCTCGTCAGTTCCCGAACAACGACTACCAGTTTTCCTTGGATCTAAATCCATCGGCACCAACGTTGTTCTCGACAATTCCATAAATGGCGGTTGTCGGTGCTTTGGAGCTAACTCTAATGGAATCATCTTTGATTCTCGTCAGATCGCGAACAATGACTACCGATCCCTTGGACCTAAATCCATCGGCTCCATCGTTGTTCTTGATGGTTCCATAAATGACGGTTGTCGGTGCTTTGGAGCCAACTCTAATGGATCCGTCTTTGATTCTCGTCAGTTCCTGAACAACGACTACCGGTCCCCTTGGACCTAAATCCATCGGCTCCATCGTTGTTCTTGACGGTTCCTTAAATGGCGGTTATCGGTGCTTTGAAGCTAACTCTAATGGATCCATCTTTGATTCTTGTTTGTTCCCGAACAATGACTACCGGTCCCTTGGACCTAAATCAAACAGATCCTTCTTTGAGTTTTGGCGGTTCCTGAACGGCGCTTACCGTTCCCTTGGAGCTAAATCAATTGTACTGCTTGATATTAGTTGCTTGAATTTAAATGCCTGGATCATATTTGTGTCTATTGTGGACGACCGGCAGAATAGTATCTAATCTTGTATCAAGAGTGTCATTAGAGAAACAGTTAGGACCTGTGTCCAATTAGGATGGCGCAAGTGCAAAGGAAAATAAAAAAAATTGAGGCATACTTTTTCATATCGTCTATGCACTCTGTCCAGCTTGATAAACCTTGATGATTACATTACTTGTTCTGTCACTTTGAAAATCCAATAAGAGCAGAAATTCGAAATAGACAGTAGTATTTTCACCCGCAAAAAAAGAAGACATTCTCGTATTTTGACTAGAGACTGTCTACCTAGTAACCATTACATGACCCCTCTTTCTGAAACCTCAGGGTTCAGTAAGATAGCTCGCAATGATTCATCAAATCGTGGTGGCTCGGATTGATAGGTATCCCCATGCAAATAAAAGTTCAGGTTCCTATTTGGGCATAGCACGACAAACACAACAATAATGTGAAGAACACATGCACTAATTGGTAGTTAGACTAGGGCTTAAATGCCCACAACTTGCTCTGAACAAGAGTGGTAGTAGCTCAAAATCGAGCGTGAACTTTTAGCTGAAAAATGGTGAAACAGTAGCAGTGGATGACACGAGCTGCTCACAGAGGATGTCGCAAAAACTCAAGCAACAGGTCAATATCTTCAGAAGCGCCACGGGCAAAGTACTCGTCACATGACGTCTTACATGTGTCTTCAGCTTGTAGTCGTTTACCATCCTTTTCCATTTTGGCTTCAGGTTCCAAATATGGATGATAAAAAGTAGAAAGTACTGGGAAAAACAATGAAAAAAGACAAAAATAAATAAAAGCGAAGAAACAAAATAAATTAAGGAAAACACAGAAAGAAACAAAGAAAACAAAAGTTTAAAGAAGAAAAAAGAAAAACAAAAAAATCAGGGGGGAAAGAAAACCAGGGAATAAAGAAGAAGAAATAAACCAAAAACTGGCAAAAAACAAAAAAGCTATGAGAAAACAAAATGAAACGAAGAAAAATAGGAACTGAGAAAAGACCTGGAGCGAGCGAATTCTACAGCGATCACTACAAGCTAGAACAATGGGCACCACACGCAGCGCCCGTGCTACAAAGTGGGTTAGCCCGCTATTAGGAATCAGTACGGGCGACATATAGCCCTGGCGAGACCTGCTTCCATCTCGCGTGGGCGTGCCTATGTCTTGCTTGTGCGAGACCAAGGGCCCTAAAGGCAATCACAAAATTTTAAACTTGTACCTAAAATTTGTTCCTGACATGTACAAAATATGTAGGATGTGTATGGAAAAAGTAGAGATCCAAAAATATATGTTTTAAAAAATTAATCATGTATATGGAAAATGGTAAACATGCATATCTAAAAACATTAACATTTATAAAAAATGTATCTATTAAATAAGAAGAATGCACGATGTGTATAAAAAATAGACATCAAAACTATATTAAAATATATATTTTATTCATATATATGAAAAATGTTAAACATGTATTGAAAGAAATATAGATGTATATCACAGATGTATAGCATGTAAGAAAACAATAGAATCAAAACGAAAATATTTAACATGTATTTGAAAAATGTAAAACATGTACAAACAATATGTTCTTGATGTGTACTAAAATGTACAATGTGTAATAAAAAATGTAGACATGTGCTGTAAAAAGTAGAGGGGAAAACAAAAGAAAACCAAATAAATAAATGAAATGAAACTAAAGAGAAAAAGGAAACAAAAAAGTGATGATAAATATTGCAAAAAAGAAAAGAAACAAAGAGGCCAAAAAAGTTGAGAAATAAACAAAGAAAACCATAAAAAGGGAAAAAGAGAAAAAAAGGAAAATGTGTATAAACCGTATAAGCAATGAAGAAACCGGTGAAAAACAAAAGAAAATTAAAGTTATACCAAAGAAAACCAGTGAAGAAACAAAATGGCCAAAGAAAAAACTACAACGAACAAACGTCAGTCGAGTCCTAAGCTAATGGGCTGGCCCACTCGCGTTGTTCCTGAAGCGAGAACAATTTCCATTTCGCATGAAGGGAGATATAGCTCTCGTGAAATTAGTCAGCCTTTGGCAACAAATGTCATAAGTACACCTCTTCATGGACCACGAGGTGCGCGAGACAAAGAGGCGTGAGCGACCCAAGTTCATTATTTCCAGCTGGCAAGAGACCACTTTCCTTCCAGGAGCTCTTGTTTGGAAGGAGCAACTAATTAAGGATATCCTTAAGAAAAAAGAAAAAGGGTTTCCCCCGCTTTATATTATAAAGCATACCATCAAGCATCCAAAGTCACAAAGTCAAGTACAATAAGTCATAGAATCATGCTGGGGGCACAGCAAGACAAGCCCCAAATAAAGCTAAAAGGAGACTCTAATCCGGCTCGGGGGGAGGAGGTGGTGGCGGTGGAGGAGGAGCAAAAGACGCTGCCGAGGCAGGAAGACCCGCCATGATGTTGTCGATGACGCCGCGGTCGCTCTGCTTACTAAGCGGTCTCCAGAGCTGCAAGAAGCCACACATTTTGTAGATCACATCAGTCACGCGAGACGGAATCACTCGTTCGATGACTAGTTTATTGCGGGTACACCAAAGGGACCAGGCAAGGGTATCTAGCGCGACC